GGGGACAATTTACATGCTTATCATTTTCTAGCATTTTGAAGTTACCACTTCGGGATCACGGACCGACCATAAAATCATGTTAGATAAGTGAAACGCGCTAGCTGGAACATAAAAGTAATTTCTCGTATGTTATTACTAATTTATGTCATTATGTGAAAACTTTTGTCACCTATGTAAATTATATATGCCCTATATGTATATATTATACATATTAGGAATTGGTACATAGTTTGACTTTCTTAGAATATACATTCAGTATAGTCATTAAGAAAAAGTCAACCCGATACGTAAAATATTTCGCGTTCACGCAGGGTCCGGAAAAGGGCTCTCATTCCCCTATCAATCCAAACTGACATGGATTAAATTAACATGATAAAAGAGGGGTAATAATAATAATAATAATAATAATAATAATAATAATAATAATAATAATAATAATAATAATAATAATAATAATAATAATATCTATGCAAAGGACAAAAGGATAATTTTCAAAAGAACTACTCCTAAGTGAACCCAAGAATTGAGGGGAAAGAATTACTTTATACATGTCATTTTCATGGGAAAATTACAAAGTAAATAGACACTTGTTACGTTGCAATCAAAGTCTCAAAGAGGAAAAAAGGGCATGTTGTATGTTTTTAGGGTATGGGAATCTCTTAGTCTGTCACAGTATTAAGTATTAACCCTTTAAAATGAAAGATTTTGGAACTATGGTCCACCTTTTTTTGCATTTTCTGACAATGCAATTATTTTTTCATTTAGATCTTTATTAGAAAGATTCACATTTATGGATTAACTAATTTACCATTTAAGGATAAAGTTTGATTTTCTGATAATGCACTAAATTTGGAAAATCTTTTTTTGTTTATAACAAAATCACTGAAATTCATGAGTTGATGGGTTCTAATTTAGAAAAATTTTGTTAAATTTATCACATGGTGGAACCATGGATAGGATCCACTTGAGATTTTGACACATTGTAATAAAGTAAGAAATTAGCATTTTTTGTCCTTCGTGTATGTCCTAAAATACAATTCGGTCCTTCATGTTTTTTAATTGATATTTTCACATGGTAATTTGATGATGTGGAGGTAATGAGGCAAATTGGAGTCTTTAGAAACTAAATTGACGCTCAAGTTTGCAATCCACTTCAAGAGTAAACTAGTACTTACCTAGGTTAGAGATTTTGATTGGTAAATTTCATGTATGATCATTAAACTTTATCTAGTATAAAGTTAAAATCAGAATGTTACATTAAAATAACTAAATTTTACTTATTGTAAAAGTCACAAAATTATTTTTGTCTAGTTGCTATAACAGCAGATTTATTAATGAACTTAACTACCTTTTTGTCCGTTCTCATTTGGAGTACTAGTATTTTTTTCATTTAATGCCATACATAATTTTTAGTTAAATATGGACCTTAATTCGTAACACGGGCGGCCCTTCCATAAAGTAACTAAAGCAACCGCTTTAGACCCCATATTTATGGGGGCT